CATAAGTAACTAGTAGATACATTATTATCCAATAATACAAGCACAACATCCCACATTCCCGCACATGAGTGAAAATGATAAACTTTTATTGTATAAACTACGCAAAATTATATTAACAGCTTTATATTTCAACGTTGTGTAAAAATTTAGCTCGCGGAAACACTATATTATACATATAATTGTAATAATTTGATGGGATTCATATGTAATGGGCACTAACCTGCAGACACCTTGACTATGGACTACGCTGATCGATTAGCGGCGTCAGCTACAATGTGCAATGGTGTATAATATTTTATAATACATTGTTTAATCGTTAGTCGTGACTTATTCTTCTTTTTTATTTTCTACATATTTTCAGCTACTTATTACATTTTGTTCTCTGCCAATATATTTATATAAGAAAAAGTTCAAATATGACTTCGCACTTGTAAGCGGTATAACATATTATAAGATATTTAAAAAAAACATACTATCCGTCAATTATAGTCACTCTCGTTTATTGAACTCAGTTAAAAACCACATCTATCCTCACACCGTTAATCCATATTCAGCTAAAAGCTATTCGAAATTATTCCTAATTGAAATATTATTGTGAACGAAGCAATATGCCCAGCTTGAGTTCTCCTACCAGTACGGTTTTATTAGTGGCCACAAAATAGTGCTATTGCAAGCCGATCTCACGGGATTAAGTTTAAAACTTTTAATGTTATAACCTTCATGAAATTTATATTGTTATATCCAGGGATCACACTCGTTTATATGTCATTTTAGAAAAGTAAACAACGTATTCACTGGTTTATTGCAAACTGTTTTACAAATATAAAGAGGAAAGTAATCTGACTTTACGCGTATAATAACAATATAAATATAATAAATGTAGTTTTAAATTAATAAAGCACATTTTTTGTCCATATCGTCCAGTGGTTGTCGTAAGAGGCGACAGAGAGAAACAAACCATTAGATGGGCAGCAGCGTCTTCCTAATAATAAACACTGCGGCAGCTTAACCCGCCTGCCAAGCGTCGCAACTATGGCAAATTCCCCTCAATGAGCAGTGACACACTACCAATTGGTCCAAATAAAATAGATAATGAAAGTATTATTCTTCCTATGAGGCACTCTATGGGGTAATTTGCCATTGTTGCCACGTTTGCCACAGATCTCTTAGTAAAAAAAACACTGGATATTTTTCTATAGGTTTGTTTTTCAATTCATTATATTTATTATTGTCTCGTTTATCCAACGTTTCGATGCAAACATTATAATTAAATGTCGTTAAAACTGCCTTTAATTCAGTGGATGATGTGTATGTATTTGTTTATGTCATGCTGAGGGGACATACAAGAGCACACACAAAGGATTCCTACCATTTTATCAGCTGAGTACAAAAGGAAGATACATGCTTATAATTACTATAAATGTATCTGATGCAATCATTCAGGAGATGAATTTATTTTTATAACATATATTAATGTTATGTGTATCTTAAATCTTTTTGAAAATATTATTACTATATGAGCAAATAGGCAAAGATCATAAATGTACATACAAGGTAACCTAAGAATATTTAGTTTTTTGAAATATGGTCTACAGCTAGTAATGTTGTCGATCTGTGCTAATATTCTAACGCAATTATTCTGGGTAGTAAATAGCTCCTTGCACATCGATGCTACTTCCCCACAACATAACTCCCTACTTAATACACGAATGAGCATAGACATGGAAACCACTCTGATCCATCCAATTACAGTCCTAACGCTATCACCTCCTTGTTCCCAAAAATAATGGAGTCCATTATTAACTGCCAGCTCATGCGATACCTTGAGGATCACCAGCTGATTAGTGACTGTCATAACGGTTTCTGTCGTTCAGCTTGTGATCTTCTTGTTTACCTAATACAAACATGGGCGCAGGCGATCGAGTCCAAGGGGGAGGAATTGGCCGTTAGTTTAGACATAGCGAAGGCCTTCGATCGGGTCTGGCACAAAGCGCTTCTTTCGAAGCTTCCTTCCTATGGGCTTCCCGAGAAATTTTGCAATTGGATCAATAGTTTGCTGGCTGATCGGAGCATCAAGATCGACTTCGCCGAGTACCGTAAAAAACTTGTGCCTGAAGTCGAAAATTTGTTGAACAAAGTCTCGGATTGGGGGCGACTAAATCTTGTTCAGTTCAATCTCTAGAAGACATAACTTTGCGCGTTTACATGTCGTATTTTCTCAGAAAATTTATGAATATACGAAGCGCAGATGAATTAATTAAAAATGAGAAAACTTGTTCAATAAACAAAATTCACATAATTGAAGAATTAGTAAAACGTTACTACAGTTAATAATAATATAATAATAATAATAATAATTTTTATTGACAAATAAAGCCTTAAACTTAATACAATGTAATTGTAGATAAATTGTAACAAGATGGCTAGCCTAAGTGACATAGAAATAAGTTGATCCCCTGACTTTCATGCTAGGGTAACCTGTGTTATGAAAGTCGGTGGTTCGGCTCTTTATAAGATATTTTAAAACAGCATAGCGAGTTGATTTAATTGGTGATTACATTATGGTAATAAGTTTAAGAACAGGCAGCTAAAGAAAAATAATAGTTCAGTGATGAATATGTATGGGATAATATGTGTGTGTTTGTGTGCGTGTGTGTGTGTGTGTGTGTGTTTGTGTGTGTGTGTGTGTGTGAGTGTGTGTGTGTGTGTGAGTGTGTGTGTGTTTGTGTGTTTTTGTGTGTTTGTGTGTATGTGTGAAAGTGATTGCGTGTCTTGTGTGCGTGATAGTGGGTACAGTTTATAGGTTTAGGATATTAAAGCTTCAGTGGCATTATAATTTAATTCATTTAGGTACGAAATTACCTTTTTTTTAACTTCATAGGCATTGAACTTATTTATCTGTAACTTTTCGTCGAGTTTATTGTATAACCGCGAGCTTGAGAAGGAAAATTGCTTTTTAGCAAAAGAAGTCCTACATATTTTGACAGGACATGCGGATTTTTGACGCCTCCTTGGCGTGGAAGAATTATTTAGAGGTACAGTTGAATGTAGACGCAGAATGGTGCGAAGGATGTAAAGTTGCCTAACTGTAGGTACATTACAATCCATATAAAGTTGTGTGGTCGGGTATCTCCAAGGCCGCCTATGCATAACCTTTAGCACTGCTCTCTGTGCGCGCTCAATTTTAATGAAGGTAGTCTTGGAGGCACAACCCCATATCGGGATGCAATATGTTATGATTGATTCACAAAGGGCGGTGTACACAGATGACAGGATGTCGGCATCCGCAGAGCTACGTAAAGTTTTAAAGATATAGATTAGGTTGCGTAACCGACCTGCAACGGATTCTACTTGACTATACCAGTTCAAACAATTATCCGATTGAATACCCAAGTATTTAATGGTATGGGTTCTTTGCAATTTTGGGCAATTACAGCGAGAAGTCCCACTGGAGCAATTGTGAGCACGCATATCGAAAAACTCGCTTGATGGTTGTGCAGAGGGTTTTATAGAGAAGGTTATTAATTTATTCTTATCTATATTTAAGGTTAGAAGATTACGACTTAGCCATGTCATAATAATTCTAAAATTATTCTCTGCTATGTTAATTGTATCGGACCAGTTGTTTCCAGAAACAATAAGGGCCGTGTCATCAGCATAAGTAACAATGCGGCAATGAGATAGAGGTAAGTCACAAAGCTCGTTTATGTAGCACAGGAATAACGTGGGCCCTAAAATGCTACCTTGAGGGACACCTAATACAAGAGATTCTTGTTTGCTGACGAAAGAACCTATTTTTGTGCACTGCGTCCGACCTGATAAGTAATCAGAAAATATTTCTAGGATACGACCCCTAACACCCAGCGTTTCCAACTTATTTAACAGTAGTGGGACAGAGACAGTGTCGAATGTTTTAATTTTTTTTTAACAGTTTTAACCAAGTTATGTTTTGGGCTGAAATTCAATGATCTGCCGCGATTTATCCTTTATTTTTGATTTTGACTCAACCTTACGTTGTAAACAGACGTTTTAAATATTAATTAAAATAATTAAATTAGTATGTGCTTAGCTGTGACCTCGTTATAACAATACTGGTACTAACTGTGACATACTTTAGTTATAAATGTGTTAGAGATTTTGTGGTTATGTTTAGCTTTGTCTATTAAAAGTACCAGAATAAGTACTAAAATAGAGAACAGCTCAGCTTCAAGCGAAATGCTAAGACCAGTCGCACCCCGCCTCCATCAACCCCACCCGTGCAGACATCCCCTTCAAGCGAACCAATCAAAACAATTCAATTCCTGAGTTACAGCATTGGATGACAAGCATTGAAAAGTACCTTAACGAGGTGTGCTCCATCGCTACAGAGGGAAAAATTAACTCCGACCAAAAAACGTGCATCAGCTCGCTTTGTCGAAAAGTGAGCCACGTATATCACAGTTGGTAGTTCAGTACATGTCCCTCAAAATAGATGCCACTAAAGCCCAGACCTCCATCTTATCTCTGCAGGACCAACGCGACCTGTCCTAAAAGCTACAAGACCTCAAGATTAGTATCGAAGAGTCATCAAAACTGGACTCTGTTACCCCTTTTGCGGACACGGTCAAAAAATGCCAAATACGTGGTGGAGCCATGCTGCAGCTATATTAGTAGTATAGATGTAGCACGAATGGGTTGGCTCAACCGGGGAAGAACCACGCTCTCACAGAATATCAGCGTAAAATGGCAGCACTGACACTACTGTCTTTAGTATAGTGAGTGTAGAGAACCGAAGACCCATCTTACTGGAAAAGAGGCATTCTATATCCGAGGGAAAAGTCCATAACCAGTGACATGACACGAAGTGCCTCTTACAAAAGATAATTTACCCAGAAGAAATTAAACTACATGTCCAGGGCATGAGGAAGGTAAAAAATGGGGGAGTTATAATTAGCGCTGAGAGAAAAGGAGATATCGATAAATTAAAGAACACGTAGAAGCATGTATCTTATGGCATTACCATGGAAGAGCTGACTAAACGACGTCCAAGGATTACAATTGTTGGTGTTCCTGTAGTCCTCACTGATAAAGAAGTGTTCGAGTGCATCTTCGAGCAAAATATTGCTGATAAATTTCACAATGCCATGCGTGATTCCTTCCTGGAAAAAGTCAAACTGAGCCATAAATCAGGTAAGAAAAACCTTCCTAATTGCAAATGCATTGTTGAAGTTCACCTGAGCCGCCTGTAGAAAATTATAATTTAAGTTTATTAAAAACACAATTATTACAAAGGGAACTGACATATTAAGGAATAACCTTTAAATGTCATTTCTTTTTTACAGGTAGGAGTTTTAGTTATATATATTATTTTAATATTGTAATTTGGCAATAGAACTTAGAATTAATGAAATATAAGACTTTGTTTATAGAGCAACACAACATACTTTATTTTAGTCAATCCTAAAAACAAGATATCTAACATCTTATAAAACGACATTTTTTATTATAAAATCCAAACAAAGAAAATGGAGAAACTTTGTTTTGAATTTACACTATTACCTGGAAGCGATGGAAAGTCAAACATTTTTTCTATAGCCTCAATAACCACGAGTGAAAATAAAATGTATGCAATTCCTAAAGAGCTCCAACCAGCTAGTCATCATAGAGAAATAATGAAAACGGCTGCTTATAATAACGTGAGAAATAGTTTAGGAAAAAGATACCACATTAGAAGAGTCTGGATAACTATGACGGAAGAACTTAAAAGAACGTATATAGATGAGGATGGTAATTTTCAATTTGAGGATCAATTTATAGAGAAATTGAACCAAGAAAAACTTGTTGACAAAACATGTCAAAAAGAAACATGTACATTGGAAATTTTATTTAAGAAATTAGTAGAAAACACAAATGAAAATAGACAGCAGAGCTTAATTCAAACCATTGGATTGATATTTTTTAAAAAGAATGCATACGCTTTGATGTGATTACAGATGAAAAGAATATTGAAATGCTTAGATTGTTTATGGACGGTTCTTGCGGAGATTGGTACAGTTCAATGATTATAAAACTAACAATGAACTCTGAATGGTTGACATGGAAGAACAAATTCTGTGAAACATTTGAAAACAAAGGATGGAACCCAGTCACTTATGCACTATTATTTAAATATAAAGATGGTTCATTGTTGGATTATGCTATGAAAAAAGGAAAACATTTATTGGGTATAGGGAGATCAACTGACACAGGTACATTGGTGGATCTTATTGCAACTGGCTTAACAGAATTCATATTTATGAACACATGGTAAATAAAAAAATTCCAGGTAAAAAGGAACATGCAAATCTAAGAACTAATTATAAAAATGAAGATCAAAATCCGTGTAAGATTTGTGAAAAATTAAATAAAGGTACTTGTTATCACTATGAAGCTACATGTTGGTTTAAATCCAAACAAGATGATAAGGTTAAGAAAGATATATTTAAACACGTAAACAATTCGGTAATAGAAGCAGAGTTAAATGAAACTGATCCAAAAACTAATAGAAACACCATTAATAAATGTCAAACTACTATTGAATAATAAATTAAATATATATGGACCTTATGATTCAGGTTCGAATGTTTCTCTGATAAATTCTAAGTTATTAAAACTAAAAGGAAAGGGAAGCAGTTTGAATGAAGCAGATTTAATAGCAATTAACGGTGTTAGAAAAAAGTGGTTTGACAACCTTAAAAATAAAAATATTTGAATTAGATTATAGTGTTGATGTATACATTATTGATTATTGATCAAGGAAATTTCAAATATGATTTTTTAATTGGATAAGACTTGATAAAAAAGTTCAAATTGATCCAAAATGGAGATTTAAAAATAACTCAGAAAAAGAGTCTGAATAATGAAAATGAAAATAAAGTAGAAGAAATTTCTACAAATAAACAAACAAATACTGAATAAAAAAGTACAAAAAATAACACAACAAAAGAATACAAAATAAATTTTAACGAACATGTAAGAGAATAATACTTTGAAATAAAAATAAATCATTTAAATCAGTATTTGCAAAAAACAAATACGATGTGGGCACTGTTTAAGGATATGAAGTGAGAATAGACTTATTAGTAGATAAAAATTGTAGTAAGAGACTAATAATTATTAGTAAAGAACCTGATAGAGGAATCATGGAGTTCATTTGCTGCACCTGTTACTTTAGCATTTAAATAAGAAGAAAACGAAAAATCCCGACTGTTTATAGACTTCAGAGATTTAAATAAAATAGTGATACCTCAAGCTCAACCATTTCCATTAATTGAAAATCTTATGGCAAATTTTTTTCAACTCTAGATATTAACTTTGATCTATTCCTCTACGAATCGAAGAAAGAAAAAAGACAGGATTCGTAACACTGGAAGGATATTTCCAATGGACAGACCTTTTGTACTTAAGACCTCACTGGCAATTTTTCAGAGGATATTAAGTAATATATTGAAGAAGTATAAACTTACTGATTTTACGGCTAATTACATAGATCCTTATGTTTTCGAAATCTTTTACTGAGCACATTAATCATCGTTCACGGTCGCTGCAAGCAATAAAAACTAAAGGTTTCAAATGAAAATTTCAAAAATGCACATTTGCATCAGACTCAGTAAAATAACTTGGCCACATAATACAAAATAATTCTATCAGACCAGTAAAGGACAATTTCATTTCAATAAAAAAAATCCTGTTCCAAAAACGCAGAAAAATATAAGACAATTTCCAGGAAAAATAAATTTTACCATGAATATATACCGAGAAGTGCAATAATACTAGACCTATTGCATCTTTTACTCAGAAAAATCAAAAATTCAACTGGTCTGATTAATGTCAAAAAGCATTTGAGATGATAAAAAGCCTGCTCCCAACCAGTTCTGGAATTTTTTTATCAAGATTTACTTTTTATTATATTATCTCTCACAGTATGAATTCAAAATAAAATATAATCCAGGAAAAGAAAATTTGGAAGCAGACTGTCTAAGCAGAAATCCAGTATTAGAATCGAATGAGAACACTGATGAACGATTAAAAATTGTGAACTTAATTAAACTGGAAGATATTTTTACAGATCAAAATAAAAATAAAGAAATATAAAATAACAAAAACAAATTGATTGAAAAACAGAGCATATTCTACAAAAGGATAAGGAAAAAAGAAAAAAGAATTCTATCAGAAGAGTAAATTATAAAACTCTTAAAAAACATACATGAAAACCTTTGCTAGATTGGAATCGGACAAATGCAGAAGACTGTTAGTCCGCTATACACAGCCAAAAATTTGATAAAAAAAATCAAAAAAAATTGTACAAGCTGTGAAATTTGTATTAAATATAAATCAAGAGGACATGACCGATTTGCCTTGATGTCTCATCTAGGTCCAGCTACAATGCCTTTCGAAATGGTCTCTATAGATACAATTGGAGGTTTTGGAGGATGGTCGACAAAAAAGTATCTACATCTATTAGTAGACCATTTTACAAGATATGCATTTATTTTAACCTCAAAAACTCAGAGTGCAATGACTTTATAAAGCTAATTACAAACATAACAGAAACGGAGGACATTGGTATAATTCTCACCGAACAATACCCGCAAATCAATTCAAAAGAATTTAAGAAATTCTTAAATAACAAGCGGATACCTTTGGTCTTTACAGCAGTAAATGTACCATTCACAAATGGCCTCAATGAGAGATCGAATCAAACATTAGTGAACAAAATCAGATGTAAAATAAATGGAGAAATAAAAACAGAGCCCGGACAACAATAGCTCTAGAATGTGTAAATAAATATAATGATACTATTCACTCAGTTACTGGCTTTACACCAAGTTATCTTTTGTACGGTAAGCATGTAACAATTTTACCAAATGAATTAAATATGGAAAAATTAAAACAAGTAACATCAAATAAGAACTAGATCAGACACAGAAAATCTGCACTTGAAAATACTATGAAATCACATAACTACAACAAAACATTATCCGAAAAGATCTAAAATACTATCAATTTAATGTAGAAGACATGGTGTATGTGAAAAATGGAAACAAACTAAACAGAAAAAGTTAGATGCACTGAGAATTGGACCTTAAGAGATAGTGGAAAATTTTTCAAACTTAAACAGAATTGAAACTGGTCACAAAAAAACTGAATAAACTCTTTTCCACATCACAAAAATTATTCCAGTCCGTTCATTTGACGAAGAATAAACAGAAGACGAAAAGGTTGCGTGAACATTTTATTGTAAATCTTCTTTACCGAGGGGGGGAGATGTAAATAAAATGTATTTTTTTAATAATTTGTCTGTGTGTTTTACCTGTGGTTTTATCTGTATTTGTGTAGTGTAGATATAATCTGTGAAAGAACATATTGACTGTTGAACAATGATAAGCCGCCTGTGGAAAATAATAATTTAAGTTTATTAAAAACACAGTTATTACAAAGGGAATTCACATATTAAGGAATAAATTTTAAATGTCGTTTCTTTGTTTACAAGTAGGAGTTTTAGTTATTAATGTAATAGTGTAGTTTGGTAATAGAACTTAGAATTAATGAAATATAAAACCTTGTTTACAGAGCAACACAACATAGTTTATTTTAGTCAATCCTAAAAACAAGGTATCTAACATTATATATATATATATATATATATATATATATATATATGTAAGTGTGTGTGTGTGTGTGTGTGTGTGTGTGTGTGTGTGTGTGTGTGTGTGTGTGTGTGTGTATAACAACCGTATAGCCGAAGACATGTATGAACCCATCCAGAGTACATACAAAATAGATCACTATTTTGTTGTACTCTGGATGGGTTCATAGCGAGAGCTCTCTTTGAAATAATTTATGGTCCTTCTATGACATAGACATGGTGTTTGTAATAGAAATATGTACATATGTCTGACAAATAAGAAAAAAAATATTTCGAAGACATGTGAAGTTCGTTAACACGCATTGGGGCAGCGCGGCGGACATTTCCTTGCCCTAAAACCCTCTCAGAAATGAGAGGAGGCCTGTGCCCAGCAGTGGGAATTATATAGGCGGTAGCTTTATACACTTAGATTTATACAGTTAACTTTATACAGTTAGAGACTTTACGCAAGTAACAAGATGTTTCAACTGCCAGCAGTTTGGTCATACAGCCAAATTTTGTCGGGAAAGTAGCCCTACGTGTAACTACTGTGGAGAGCTCGGGCATTCCTTTAAGGAATGTTTTTTTTTTATAGGATAATGGTGAAAAACGAACACAAATTCCAACTTATGGTAAGTGGTTTCTGCAACACATAGACATCCACATCTATTCTCGATTACAAATCAAAATGCAGATGCGTTGTCACCCGTGAGGACTAAGATGGAATGCCTCATTTCCAGTAAAAAGGGTCTCCGCTGCTCTACAATCACCATTCGAAACACAGCAGCGTTAAGCTGCTATTTTACGCTGGTATTCTGTGAGAGCGTGATCCGTCCCCGGTCGAGCCGACCTATTCGTGCTACAACTATACTACTAATATCCATGCTGCAGCTGGATTTACCACGTAATAACAAATTGCATTTCACCATTTGCGCGACATGCAAAGGTTTTAAAAGAAAATGCTACCATTAAACTTGTGATGAAAGCAGTCCGGCGCGTAAATTCGCAGAGGACAAATATAATAATTCCATAGACTATGAGGGAAATTTAAAAAAAGATCCTAATTTCAATTCAAATGGACTGGGGTCTACCACCTACTTGGGATCGTAATTAATTCTTAATAATAAATTATCCGTGTAGTGGCAGTCAAGAATATCCACTACCCCATATCCTCCCGTGGGTGTCGTAAAAGGCGACAAAGGGAAACAGGCAGGAGATGGGCAGCAGCATATTCTTGATAACAACAAACTAATAATAAAAAAAAACTGCGGTTGCCAACCCGCTCGCCAAGCGTGGCAACTATGGCAAATACCCCCCTATGAATGACAGTAACAAAGAAACGGCTCCCAGTCCCCGGCGGCCCCGCTATTCCTGGCTACGGTGGCGACCATGGTAACGGCGGGGCAGGGGGTGCTAAGAATCTCCGGTGGAGGTTCGGTTGCCACCTTAGACGACTCGACCTGGCAACGTACAACGCACGCACCCTGAGGACAGACGAGATGATCGTGGAGCTGGAAGAAGAGATAGACAAGTTGCGCTGGCATATTATAGGATTATCCGAAGTCCGAAGAGAGGGGGAGGACACGGTAATCCTCGAATCCGGCAACTTGCTCTATCACCGGGAGGGCGACCATCTGTCCCAAGGAGGTGTCGGATTTATCGTCCACAAGTCTCTCGTTAACAACGTTGTAAAGATCGGGAGTGTGTCGATGAGGGTTGCGTACCTTATACTCAGAATCACCAAACGGTATTCGCTGAAGGTCATACAGGTTTACGCACCAACGTCGGCACACCCCGATGAGGAGGTGGAGGAAATGTATGAGGATATCTCTAGAGCCATGCATTCCTCCAAACCCCAATATACGGTGTTAATGGGGGATTTTAATGCAAAACTAGGCACAAGAGAGAACGGTGAGCTGAAAGTAGGGAAATTTGGAATAGGGCAACGGAACCCAAGGGGCCAGCAGCTAGCCGACTTCATGGAGAAAGAGGGACTCTTTATGATGAACTCTTTTTTCCAGAAGCGGCCCCACAGGAAGTGGACCTGGTCAAGCCCCGACGGTTCGACAAAAAAAGAGATTGACTTCATTATGACGACCAGACAACAACTGTTCAGTGATGTCTCCGTGATCGCGAGGGTGAAAACTGGTAGCGATCACCGAATGGTTAGAGGCACACTGAACCTAAACGTTAAGTTGGAGAGATCTCGTCTAATGAAGTCCAATGAATGAAGTCTCGTCTAATGAAGCTCTAATCCAAAGTCCCGAAACCTTTCAGCTCGAGTTACAAAACCGTTTTCAGTGCCTAGAAGACTGCAATGAAGTGGACGATATGAATGACAAGCTCGTGGAAACTGTCCATGCGGTCGGAGCAAGTTCTGCAAGACCCGCCGCAGAAGAACACAAAAACTCTCCGATCACACTCTTTATCTCATGGCTGTTAGACGGGAGATGAAGCTACATTCTTCAACAGACTTGACAGCATACAGGCATCTGAACAGACAGATCTCCAAATGCATGCGGCGGGACTTACGCAACTTCAATACAGCTCGTATTGAAGAAGCGATCGAGCGGAACCAAGGCTCCAAAGTCTTTGCCAGAGATCTGTCTGCCAGAAAGAGCCAACTGTCAAAGCTGAAGACAGAATGTGGCAGCATCGTTTCCGGGACACCTGAGATTTTGAGTGAGATTGAGAGGTTCTATGGGCAGCTGTACACGTCATCGTTGGAGCCACACGCAAGTGTGAGTAACGATCCAAGAGCGAGTCTCATCCGACACTATTCCGAAGATATCCCGGACGTCAGTCTGAGCGAGATTAGAATGGCTCTCCAGCACCTTAAAAACGGTAAGGCCCCAGGCGAGGATGGAATTACAGCGGAGCTTCTGAAAGCGGGTAGAAAACCGGTACTTGAAGTCCTTCAGAAGCTCTTTAATTCAGTCCTCCATGGTGGCATTACACTAGAGGCGTGGAGCAGAAGTGCGGTGGTCTTGTTCTTCAAGAAAGGTGACAACGCTCTCTTGAAGAACTACAGACCGATTTCCCTTCTGAGCCGCGTCTACGTGCTGTTTTCGAGAGTCATTACGAATCGTCTCGCGCGCAGACTTGACGAATTCCAGCCTCCCGAACAAGCGGGTTTCCGAAAGGGCTTTAGCACCATAGACCACATACATACCCTTCGGCAAATTGTACAGAAGTCCGAAGAGTACAATTTGCCACTATGTCTGGCGTATGTGGACTATGAGAAAGCCTTTGATTCCGTCGAAATTTGGGCGGTGCTGCAGTCCCTTCAGCGGTGCCAAGTTGACTGTCGGTATATCGAAGTGTTGAAGTGCTTGTACAGTGGGGCTACGATGGCTATCCGAGTACAGAACCAGAGTACGAAACCTATCCAATTGCAGAGAGGTGTAAGACAGGGTGACGTCATATCCCCGAAACTCTTCACCGCTGCATTGGAAGACGTTTTCAA